TTATGTTGAGGTCGCACGTGCTGTAGGAGTAGCCGGGGTGTTGACAGACCCCATACGAGTCCGGGTGCGTCCCGTCGTATGAGGGGTGATATTGTGATTGTTGTAAGGTCGCACCTGTCGTAGGAGTAGCCGGCGTGTTGACAGACCTCATATAAGGCCGAGTGCGTCCCGTCGTATGAGGGGTGATATTGATATTGTGTTGAGGTCGCACGTGTCGTAGGAATAGCCGGCGTGTTGACAGACCCGATACGAGGTTGGGTGCGTCCCGTCGTATGAGCGGTGATGTGATATTATGTTGAGGTCGCACGTGCTGTAGGAGTAGCCGGGGTGTTGACAGACCCCATATGTGGCCGGGTGCGTCCGGACGTATGGGGTGAGATATGTGATATTGTGTTGAGGTCGCATGTGTCGTAAGAGTACCGGCGTGCTGACAGACCCCATACGTGGCCGGGTGCGTCTCGACGTATAAGGGGAGATATGAGATTTGTGTTTGGTGAGTTGTGATGGATAAGTCCTAGAATGTATGAATTTGTATGGTTGTAATTGTTTGTTTGTTATTGGAGCCAGGATTGATGCGAAAGAACTACGTGTGGCTTGATCCCTTAGTGGGGTATGTAGGCAACCTGAAGTTACTAGGTGCAGCCGCGGGTTAAACCTCACTTAGGTTGAGGCTTGTCCGGTGGACAAAGTGAACGGATTAGATTCAATTAGGTACTTTGTTGAGTTTAGGCAGCCTGAAGTTACTAGGTGCAGCCGCGGGTTAAACCTCACTTAGGTTGTGTTAGTGAGGTTGGTTCGGACCTTGTTGTTGGTCCTGGAACTTGGTTGAATTGAGGCTTGTCCGGTGGACTAAGTGAACGGATTAGATTCAGTTAGGTACTTTGTTGAGTTTGGTTCGGACCCTGACGTTGGTCCCGAAATTTGGGAAAGTTAGTGGTGAGATTTGTTTTCGGCATTTTTAAGTGTTTGAACTTATTTTTGCCCTGTTTAAGGTAATTTTCGTTTAAGGACTTTGTCGGCAGCTCTATTTCGAAATATTTGAAGGCCGGAGGCCAATTAGATGAATTGCATGTTGTTATCTTGTGCGTGCTGCCGGTTGGGATATATAAATTGTGATTTTATGCAGGTTGAATATTTGGGGAATGTTCAATTTATAGGGGAGACTCTGTCGAATTTTCGGCAGAAAGTCCCATGCCCCTACTCCTTTTTGAAAAAAGAGGTTACAGTCTAGTGAGTAGGCCCGACATTGGGCTGATGTCTGGGTTTCCACAGGATTCATCTCGGGTTCGGGGAAATTCGGGGTGGGTCTTGTCATTTTATCTCTCCACCGTCGCTCCATGACCACCACCACTCTGTTTCTCCCACTCTCGCGAAACCCATCCCTGTGTCAATTTCTCAACAAAAAAACTCAATCTTTATCCCCTATGTAGGGTTATCTGGTCTTACAAGTTCAACCCAGAAAAATAAAAGCTTAGCCAAAGCCTTGAATACATGTCCTTTAAGTTTTAATCCTTTATATTTTCTTTCCTGAGAAGAAATAATGGACACAATGGACAAATCAGAGTCGATTTGCTGCCTTCTGATAGCATTTACTTCATTGTGGGAATCATTAACAAGAAGCTCGATGTGAATCAGTTCCAAAATGTCCATTCTTGCCGCAGTGGGCTATCCGATTCTTCTCTCGAATCGTTGAAACGGGGCATCCAGGTATTTATTTATAACCTTTCTATTCTGATTACATTTGGACCTTTACGTTTCTATTTTTATTGAAATCGTTTTGTGAGCTTTTCAATATGTGTGTTTCTTTTGGGATTCTTTCAATTGTCTGTTTCTGGGTTGTTGTTCTATTGGTCCTGCTCTCACGTAGATGAGCAATTGCATATGGATTTATAGTGCTGGAGCTAAATAAGATATATTAAAGTATATTTTAAATCTTGGAGTGGTCTTCTTTACTAAAAAAAGGATCAGTTTTCTTTGTAATGATTCCCCCTTTGTTTATGTGTATGTATATGCATACATACAGCTCTTGATATTTATCAGAGGTTTATTTCATAGGTGATTTACTTAGACAGACTCTGCTTTTGAATACTTATCTAATATAATAGTATAGTGCTCATTTGTGCGGTGATTGCAGGACTAGTTCCCTGTGCAGTGACCATTTGTGTGGTGATTATAGGACTAGTTCCTTATGCAGCACAAGAGATTGAAAGGTTTTTTGAATATACGAGAAACAAGGTTTGTATGCCAAAAAATTGGGGCACAAAGTTCGGATCTTGGCCGAGTTTCAGCTAGATTTTTGGTAGCTATTTCTCCTATTTGGTCAAAGACACTACTTGTGCAGAGACTTTTGCATTTATACGGAAGAGCTTATTTTATTAGGGCTTGATATATTATGCTTGAGGATTAAAAGAAGGAAATTTTTGGATATGCTTCAAAAGCCCGCATTTAAAACATTAATGAATCATCAGAAAGGCTTCAGCTTTAGATATTAATAAGGGATTGAATATGTATTAAGCAGAGTCTAGTGTATGGATCCCTGGTGGTGCTTTCCTCTTAGTCATTTACCTGTCAAATTCTGTGACTCATCTTTGATGTTCCCTAGAAAAAAATCTTTCTTCTTTCATTGTTCTTTTGAGTTATTCCCATCTGTAACTTATCCTTGATGGATGCTTCTTCTTGCAGTTAACTTCATAGCTGTAATAACATACCACATTTTCCCTAACAGTAGGATTTTCGGGTTGCTTATTGCCTAAGTTTTGTGCAAAAGAGCTTTTTTCTTTTTCTTTTTTTTAATTCAAAAAGGGCTTTAATCTCTTTTCTTGGTTACTCAAAAAAAGTGTTTGTTTCTTCGTCTTTCTCATTCATCTTACTCCTTTTAAATTTTGGAATGCAGTGATCTCAACACCCTGATAGTGAAAATGGCAAAATCACAAGGCATCACAGTTTCTCCTCCTGCGCAACAGCAAGGAAGCAAAAATGTTCAGACTGGATGTCCCCAGAATATTCCAATAAGTGGTGGGAAAGCAATAGCCCTGATGGTTACGAGAGCATCCATGGAGAAGGAGCTGAGACTGATGAAGACAAGAAACATCAGTCGAAAAAATTGGTAGTTGATGGTGAAAGTTCAACTGTAGTGGACAAAGAGAAATGTGAAAGTGGGAAAGAAGAGAACATTAGTTCCCAAGGAACAGATTTACTGATGGCTGTGAGAAAAAGAACTCTGGAAGAAGGGCAAAAAGCACTTAAGCTTGGTGTTTTCTGGGGTTATGGTGGAAAGAAACTAGGCAGAAGGGAGAGGGCATTGCTTCTCCGAATATTCTCTCTTGAATCGTAGTTGGACTACTCTGGACATTATAGATCATATATAATTCATGTTAGGTTACATAGTTTTTTCTTTAGACATGATTGACCATCATATTGAACTCTCAATCTGAATGGCATTTTCTTTTTTTATTTGGCCTCAGTCGGAATGGTATTGTTTTGTTTTTCTTTTATGATGACCATGAGTTTCATAGACCCCATTGGTTGATGGAATCTTGAGAGAGGTTTCCAAACCACAAAAATATTGTACTGCTACTGTTTATCCCACAAAATCATTGTCCCTACTTCCTTTTCATTTGTTGCAATGACTGTTTGGTATTGATTGGTTTATTTATTTTGCTTTTGTTTTTGCCTCTAGTACTGTATTCATGTCCTTGCTTGCTGGTTCCCTTTTTGGAGTTTTCAAAGGTGTAGCTTTGGTGGTTTTCAATGCCACTGCTAGTGCATCTTCTTCTTATTTCTTGTCAAAGTTGATAGGGAGGCACATCACATTGTCTTCTCTATTAGGCCTGACAAGCTGCAGTTTTTCCAAAACCAGGTAAATTCAAATGTCTCAATATCTCTCATTGATAGGGCTCTCTCTCTCTCACACAAACAAGCTACTTAAGTAGCTATCAAACGGTCAACAACGAACGTTAAATACTGCACCATCATCACCCTCTTCACCAACCCACTTTGCTCGCTGCATTTTTTGTACAAGAGCTCCACGGTTTGTGTAAGTTCTCATTGCTTCTTTGATCAATTTGCTTCGAGTTAGCTCAAAAAACTTAAACTGCAATACTTCAAATTCTACTTTGAAAGATTGGAATGAAATGAGCAAGTTTCTTGGCAATTGGCACCCAATTTTGGAACTAATTATCTGGGATTAGTTCACTGCTCAAAAACAATATGGTAGCAATAAACGAGCAATAAAGTGACAATAGACGAGCAATAAACATGCAAAAAAAAAACAATACGGTAGCAATAAACGAGCAATATAGTGACAATAGACGAGCAATAAAGTGACAATAGACGGGCAATAAACATACAATACAAAAACAATACAGTAGCAATAAACGAGCAATAAAGTGACAATAGACGAGCAATAAAAAAGCAATAAAAATACAATAAACAAATTGTGGGCTTTTCTTTTTCTTGTGCAATTTGAAAAGAAAAGGGAAAAGAAACAGAAATTGTCAAGATAAAACCGCAGAAAGAAACATAAAGTGATTATATCAGACATTTCCCCTTACAAAATTTGATACTGATAATGATAGCCACCCCAAGCTAAGGACGGCTCGGCATAAATTAATACAACTTTAGTCAGACTATGGTATTATACATATCCCTTGAAATACAATTTACAAATTGCTGGCTCAAAGAAGAGTAACAAAATTTTGATTCCAAATCCAGCATTTTAGTACAAATTGATGACTATAATGTCTGCATCCATCTTGAAGATGAAATTCTTTTCACCATCTTGGAGGCCTGACATAATGCTCTTTGATAGTCACCCACCCTTCTTTAAAAAAGTTTGTCTTTCCTCTGCAGGAAAAAAGAAAACAGAAAAACCAAGATCAAGATCAATTGTCCTCCAAAAATATAGCTTAATTCTGCAGAAGATACTAGAGATGATTTGAGGCCATTAATACTCGAGGGTTGTCCTTCAAGCTTAAGTAATTCATCATGCATCTTATCCATAATGAAGCTAAGGGAACTCCTGAGCATCTTCTTGTCTGAAAAAACAAAAATAGTTTCAATAGGCAAAAATAGTATCAAATTTTGGACAAGCTAGGTAAATACATCTCAGATATTAAAGATTGTAAGAATAAAAGAATCCTGTACACATACACCCATACCTTGAATTAACAATGCTGGACTTCCATCCCTTGGATTTGAGGTTTTATCTACAATGACAAAAGTGGCCCCATTTTGGATCTATCCAAATTAACAATGAAGAAGAGTGAAATGCAAAACATGATATGATTCGTCAAACTCTCAAAACTAGGTTAAAACATAATCAGGGTAAACGCCATAAGAAAGGCCATGACTGAAAAGGCACTGACCCAATATCCTTTTTCTTTTTCTTGATGTACCAATAGTACTTTTATAAGGAAATAAATAAAACATATTCTTCCACTAACATATATATACATGCCCACTAGTTTTTATTTGGCCAAGGAATCCAGGTTCTTACACCCTACAAATAGCTTAGGTAAAGATCAACCTATTTATTAAATGTCCATAGCCTCAAATTCACTGAGCTTCACATGGATATACAATGCCTCTTCTATAGATTACTATTTTCCAATGACTTGACAACTTTTGCTCATCTTGGATCTTCTTTAATTACGAGGAAACTAAACCAAAAAAAGGTGAGAAAATATCATGAAAAGAAAGTTATTAGATACTCAGAAACCATTAAAGATTCTACTCAAATATAAAATCTCTATAACACGTTTATCCAAAAATCTCTATGACTCTTGTTTAATTCAATTGCAAGACCAAGCAGATTGTTATTACTCTTCACCACCACAGAGGAAAAAAAAAAAGTAAAATATAAACATTCACAAATTACCTCATCAACTGCATTGTCAAGTAGATCTGCTATGGCTGAAAACAAGAATAAAAAAAAGGAATGTACTGTCCTTGTCAAAAAGGAAAAAAGCACAACATACATAAAGTTGAATTCATTAACATATACATAAAGAAGAATGAAGATTGAATTTACCACCAAAGGCCCATTTATGTGAAGTGGCATTTGAATGAAGGAACATTGGGTGGACATGTAGATAGTTTTTGCCATCTGTGATCCAGAAAGAGGAATGTCATAGAACATACCATGCATAAACAATATTAGATGCAGAAGATTGCAAATATTGCATTGTATATGAAAAACCATATCATCGAAACAAAAGTCATCACCAGAAAAATCATGAAAACTCGTGAAAGAGCCTCAACAGAATTAGTTGGCCTACTAATCAGACAATATATGCTTTAACCACCAATATTAGTAAAATTCCAGATGCACTACACTCAAGTACAAAATATAACAGTAGATAGTAGAATACTTTGAATTGTGACTTTAGAACCAATGCCATCATTGTAGTTCCCAGCTTTCCAAAATTCCCGACAAAGTGGTGCTAGAGATAAAGGCGATGTATAACCTGGCTCCAACTTAACAGGTTTCACATCAACCTCTCCAAGTTCATTATCGCTAGATAAATCTACAATGTCTGTTAAGGTCATCCTGCACACTAAAACAGAAATTAAACATGCATGCAACTAGGTAAGCATTTTAAATAAACAATGGGCACAACTCCTACAACACCATTACATCAAAAAGCAAGCAGGACATGAAAATTCAAATTCAAAAACCCAAGACATTGATAGATCAACAAAGACTAAATGAAGTCTTTTTCATAAGGTGTTTTACTCAATGGAGAAGCAACAAGTCAAAATTACACTAAACTCAATCATGTAACCTGATCTTTTTTTGGTAAGAAAATGAAAATTTATTAAAGAAAGAAAAAAAAAGATTACAAAAAAAAATGGACAATAGATCCTTCGGAAACAAATTTAATCTAATAACATCCCAAGAGAAACAAGAAAACAGGCACAAGAAGCCTACAAGGCCAAACATAACCACACCCTTAAATACCACTTTATACAATGTGAATTTGCTATTAAGCAATTCAAGCGAATAAAAGGTTAGGGAATTTTTGTTGAAAAGCAAAAGACTGTTTCATGAAATCAGCTACACAAAGGTCCTACGAAAATAATCAGACAAATTCATAGGTCTCACCAGATTAGGTTTTCGCGACAGAGGGAGAAAGAGAGTGGTGGTGGTCGATGGAGAGAAAGCGCTGAGAGAGGAAGAGAGAACCGTGAGAGAGAGAGAGAGAGAGAGAGAGAGAAGTCAGAAGTGTTAGGGTTGATACATCTGCTTTTATATGGAGGGCACTTTGGTCATTTCACATCCCCAAGTGATTATATCAGAACACAATTTGTAGCCTGATCATTTCAGCACACCATTTCTGAAATGTGATTACACCAGCATATTTCCCTTTTTTCTTTAACAAGAAACCTCCTTCTCTCTCTCTCTCTCTCTCTCTCTCTCTCTCTCATCGCAACCCAACCTCCCCATTCTTTTTATCATTTTTTTTTCTCTCTATTTGTTATCTTTATTCAACAGACTCCCTCACTCTCTCTCTCCCCCATCGCAACTCACTTCAACATCCCTTTTTTCTCTCTGGTTTTTTTCTTTAATCATAAACCTCCCTGATTCTCTCTCTCATTCCCATCGGAACCCACATCCACATCCCCTTTTTCCCCAATTCTTCTTCTCCCCCTTTGACTCCTTTTTATTCAATTGAGAAAGCCTTAGGCAAAGGCTTCAGCAAATGCGTTTTCCACACACATCCTCTTCGATCTTGTCCAGACAGGATTTGAGTTTGTTTGGTTGCAGAAATTAGGTAAACTCATGGTGGTGGTCTGACAAGTTAATTGTGGTAGGGGGGGTTTTGATTCAAGCCAAAGATCTGACTTCAGTGAATATGGTTGACTTCAGTGAAGATTTGACCTCGCTAAATTAGAGGAGCGAACGAGGGGTTTTGTTTATTGTTGGACAATAGTCTCATTTAAGTTAGTCATTTATCTTACCAAACATGGTTTTCAAATGCTATTTAAGCTAGTTCAGTCCAGTCCAATCTAGTGAAGAAATATAATTTAGTCGAGTAAGACAAAAGAATTGCTCACAAATAGGTTGAGGGACCAAAATACAACTCGGGTATAAGTTTTAAGGGCCATTTGAATAATAACCCTTTAATTACAAACAAAACCTTGAGTATAAAACTTGATTCTTTCTTTGGGTTTTCGGAACTTCCCTTTTGGGCCGTAATGTTTTTAATTATTTTCTGCAAATTGGGCTTGGAAGCTAAACCCAAACCAAATTTTCTTTTCTTTCTTTTTTGTTTTTTGGAATAATTTTAAATTTGTCATCGTCCTCCCTGGTAAAAAAGCGCAGGCAAGCAACGAAGATTTGGTTCCTCATCAAAGACCCCAACTTTTCAAAAAATAAAAATAAAACAAAAATAAAATAAAAAGATGGAGAAGATGATGAATATGATAAAGCCAAAGCCAAATCCACAGCAGCAATTGAGAGATTGGCAGCGTAAACTTCGCCAAGAGTGCCGCAACATCGAACGCCAAATTCGAGGTAATATTTTCTTTATAATCTTCTTCCTCTTATTTAAGTTACCCAACTCAAATTTTCGTCATAATTTTCATTTTTGTTTTAAAATTTGTATTCTGGAGTAATTTTTGTGATGGTTTAGATTCATGGATCATGCAATTGGATTGGTGGGTTTGTTTAATTTTGGGTTTTCTGTAATGAGTTTGCTTCAGATATACAGAGGGAAGAGAAGAGTGTGCAAAAAGCAATTAAAGATGCTGCCAAGAGAAACGACATGGGTTCTGCAAAGGTACTCTTTTTGTTCAATTAAAATTTGGTTCTGAGCCAAAGTTTCTACTTCCAGTTTTCCCAATTTATGCAATTTTTTTAGCTCTATTGGTTTCAGTGACTTTGTTGTTTATAAACTTTCACTTGCTTCACACCAAATTCTATTGATTGCAATAAATACATGTTGTGGTTATATTGAACAGAAACGAAATAGAATATTAAAATGTTCACTCATCATGTTATTGCTATTTTTTTTTCCAGGAGAAAGAAACTAACCCAGCATTTACGTGAATTATTATTAGCGTTTTTTCTTTTTTAAAGTTACGAAGGTCTGATACCTTTTCTGCCTAGAAGGAACTTTAATCAGGAAATGTGTCATCAATAAACGATGTGGTTTGGAAACTGAGATTTTATAGGAAACTGAGGGGAGGGGCCACCTGTGTGATTTTGATCACTTCCATTTGGTTCTGTTTTGTATCATAATCTATATGTTTGACAGAACATAATTCTGATTAGTATATCTATTTAATTTCTGACTGTTGTCTTATTTGCTGCAGTCGTGCTTCTTCCCTTGTTTTTATTCAATTTCTCTTTTGTGTTAATTATTTCAGTCACTTGCTAAAGAAATTGTGAGATCTAGAAGGACTGTGAACCGTCTTCATGAAAATAAGGCACAACTGAATTCGATATCGATGCACCTTGGGGAGAGTGTTGGTATGATGTTTCTAATACCTAAGCTTGTGGCTCACTTTGACTGTATTCCATCACCAGTGGAAGCTCTCATTAACTAATTGACGTTTGTCTCAGATTCCTGTTATTGCTTGTTTATGCATTTAAGTAGAATAGTTCTTGTATATTTCGAATCTAGAATCTAATTTTAAAAATTTAACTTAAGTAGCTATTTGTTTTGTTAAAGACTAATGTCATTGTCTGTCTTAAAATGAGAAATTTTTGTAGGCTGTTACTTGTAAATTTACAGTAACATTGATGATGAAGGAAACTTTCTATTAGGTTGAATGACAACATAGGCCTCCTTTTAGAAGATGATTCTTAGATTAGCCACATTGCAACACAATGGGAAGTTAACTTAGAACAACTGCCCAGTTTTTTATAGTGCAACAAATAGAAAATTTCATATGTTCTAATAGGATGTTGGAGTTCGTGTAAATAGTTAGTTAAGAACAAGGTTTAGATTCAGGGAATGGCAAGGGAGAACTTTGTTTGTTGGGTTATGTTATTATGATTCTTCTTTTCTTGTTATGGCTGCCCATTCTTTATAGCCCAATAAGACAGAGAACTTATATCTTCTAGGATGTTGATTTGGACAAATTGGTAAGTTAAAAATAAGGTTTAGGTTGAGTCGGTGGCAAGGAAAAACTAAGTTTGATGTGGGAACTTTGGTTTGTTTAACATCAGTATCGTGTGTTGGTTTAATATCTTTCATGCTCGTGTTTAATTTTTCCAGCTATTGCCCGTACCGTGGGGCATTTATCCAAGAGTTCTGAGGTTATGAAGCTTGTCAATAACCTTATGAAGGCTCCAGAAGTGGCTGTTACAATGCAAGAATTTAGCAAGGAGATGACCAAGGTACTCTTGTCATCGCTCTTTCACTTACAAAGAAGCTAAACGTCTCGTCTTTCATTTCCGTCGTTTCTGAGATATCATATTCATGGATTATGATTTTTGCAGCAATAATTATCTTTACCAATGTGTAGATAAAAATTGCATTGGAAGAGTCATTATTTACCCAAAATTCTTCCTCTTCCCTTTTTTCTTTCAGATGAAGTATTTTTGGAAAACAGGGAATTATTTATCCTACATTATGGCCTTTTAATCAATTAGTTTGCCATCTGTAAATAGATGTTTCCTCCCAGAATAATCAGATGTTATTTTCACTTATGTTTGTTGCTTTAACTAGCTTTTCATTTAGATCTTATCAAACTTAATCAGGTCCTCTGGTGAATAAACAATGGTTATATTCGTGATTTGTAGGCAGGGGTAATTGAAGAGATGGTGAATGATAGTCTTGACACAGCACTAGACTCGGAGGATATAGAAGACGAGATAGAAGAAGAGGTTGATAAGGTTTTGACTTCTATAGCTGGTGAGACTGCTGCAGAGCTTCCAGAAGCAGTCAGGAAGGAGAGGTTGAAGCAACCTGCTACTGCAGAAGCTGCACAGGAGGTACGTGTGACATGGTCATGAAATAAAGTCCCATTTCAGCGATAATTTTCTGCCTTTCAAAAAATCATGAGAATTGATACATTAGTTTACTTCTGCAGGAAGAAGCAATAGCTGAGGGTGCTGATGACGAGGAAGAGTTGGAAGAAATAAGGGCCCGACTTGCAAAAGTTAGGTCATAAGATGAGTTTAAGCCTTTCAGCCTCTCTCCTTTGTCTTCCCCGGCATTATAGCATGAGGTGGTGAGCGTGTGCGACTTGGATGTAGCATCTGACTGGATTGAGATTGCAGCAGTGAGGCCCCCATTTACCGCTGACAGAGAACACCAGAGATGTGTTATCTTCTGTATATTATTTAAAAGCAGCTTCTTAAAGAGTTTACAAGTAAGCTGTTGTTGTGCAATATTCAAGTGCCAATATATGTTGTTGTGTAAATCTCAAACTTATAATTCCTGTATGGAGATCCGTGTTGCATTTAAGGTCTTGTAGCTGGCATTTGCTCCATATTATATCCAGAATATTTTTGCTCACCACCCTTAAATGGTGGTGAGCATTACCACCACTAATTTCGGTTGGATGAGTCTGATTTAATCTACCTGCTACACAGTCGCAAAAATTCAACGCATCCAACGGCATAAAAGTGAAACAACTCATTTCATGAAACTGCCATAAAATTAGTATCACGATATCTTGCGTTTGCTTTTCTGTTGTGTCACTCATGCATAATGGCATGATCTCTCTGGTATGCAATTGTTTTAAGAGATAGATGACCCTGTAATTCCAAAGTTACACAAGTATGGCGTGCATCAGATTTAACCTTCTCAGACCATCTCCAACCATGGGAGGTCAAACCTAAAATTTGAGATTTTTAGCCCAAAACCTTCTCCAACCCATGTATTTGGAGGGGGGGTAATTTGAGTGGACTGAAAAATGGGGTGGAATTTCACCTCAGATTCCAGTCCAGGCAGAATTTTTGTGGGGCCCATTTCGCAAAAGACAAGAGACACATGAGGCCACATTTGAAGCAAATGATGGGCTGTTGCCCACTACCCCAAGTTGCTGGCCACTTGTCAAAGCCTAGGCAACTTAAAAATTGGACTTCTATGGCTGCATATAAAATGGGCTCCTTTCAAATTTTTTTTTTAAAACTTAAAGGCTAGAAATCAACGGCTGATATTAAATTTTGGCTGGATCAAAGGGAAAAAAATTAATCCAACAGCTGAAATTTAAATCCAAAGGTCAAAATAAGTAAATATATTATTATAAGTTGGATGCAACCTCAAAACATATCCTAAACTCTATAAATACCCATCAATTTGTTAATAAAATTATGTTTGTGAAATTTCAAAAAATTTATGTCAAAATGTTCAAAAAAATAAATCATGAAGTAATATGCAAAAATTAATTTTAAAAAAATTAACCACAAAAACAAAATAGGATTATATTATTCTTTAATAATTTAATAAAGTTGCAGACTCAAATTATGAGTCCGCAAGGTTGGAGGAAAAAACAGTTTGAGTCCTAAAAATACATGAATAGTTGTATTTTGGAGGGTGAAAATTTGAGTTTAGCCCTAACATGATTGGAGATGGTCTCATAGTCACATTCTCTCTTTTCTGAGACTGCTTTATAGCCAGTTTAGGCTTGCGGCAGATGGTCTTAAAAGCAATTAAGTTACAAATTTTGGTCGGAAAAGTGTTTGATAAATAGATTAAAACTGCTTAAAAGTTGTGGGCCAACGAGGTCTAGACTAGACTAGTGGAAAAGGGAATTGACTTGCCGACCAGAAGTCTTAAGTTCGAATCCCGACAGCATCTTGGTTGTGTGTGAGAAACTTCATCCTTGTAATTTAGAATATCGCTTGTACTAAAAAAAATTTAAAGTTGTGGGGTTCTTAACTGCTTCTTCTCAAAAAGTCTGCTCTACAAGAAGCATCCGGTTCAGTCAAACCAAGTAAAACAAAACTGAAAACCTCTATCTTCGTCACAGACGTTTGACTTTTTACTGACATAGCTGGAAATGAACCTTCATAATCAAAGCATCATGTTAGGCAATCATGCATCAAAACAAAGTCATTGCCTTTTTGTACCAACTCAAACCTATAATAAAATTCTTGTTTAAATTTTGGTTGGTGGGTGATCTGATTCTGATCTCCATTATTTTATATTCGCCTTGCTTTAAGCTAGGAGATGGCTAGGAGATAAGAAGCAAACCAAGGGTTAGGAAAAAAAAAAAAAATGTTGTCTTAAAACTTTCTCCTTCTATTTTGGGCTCTGAGAGAATTTCCTTATCTTCATTTTTTATCACAAGATTTGCGTGTGCGCTTTATCGAAGGCAATGATGCCTTACACGCAACAATTTTCCATGCTTCTGCTTATTCACTTCAAAAAAAAAAAAAAAAAAAATCTCCAACAGAAAAAAGCTAATAACTTGTTCCTTAAATCCGTACTCAAAAGCTATTTGGTAAAGAGCAAAGATTATGTAGCCCAAAATAAATAATTATTTGAAAAATTAAATAAACCGCGTATAATGTATTTTAATTATCCAAAGAACATTATTTCATGACTTTTTTCCCCTCATATCCCTGTTTTTTATTTCTTTTGGGTGGGGTGTTGAAGATTGCTCAAATCTCATCTATTAAAATCCTATTTAAGGAGAGACGGGGTGAATATTTTTCAAAGGAAAATGTTAGAGAGACCACATTTACGTATCTCTCTAATAAATAATTGTGATTTCCCTAACATTACTCTTTTTTCAAATCACATTTAAATCATAATAAAAGGGATTTTTTTAAAAGAGTCCAAACCATGATTATAATGTTGTTCTTTGTTTTAATTGAGAGGATTACTTTTCTTTTTCTTTTTTACTAATGAGAGGATTATAATTTCTTTCCTTTTAAGCAATACTAGCCTCTTCGCGGGTGGAGGGCCTATCTTCTATAGAGATTTTTGTTGAACATAATTTTTATTTATTTTTTATTTATTAATTATTTTCACTTTAAGGGTCTTTTGATTTAATAGGTTTTTCTTTTTAATTAATTTTTATTTATCTTATCTTTATCTATAGAGAAATGTTTGTTGTGTCTCGACATTTTGTTTTTCTTAAACGAGGGCAATTTTGGATTATTGGAAAATTTAACCCTCTGTTACTTTATCTATATGGTTTTATTCTTCATATTATTGTAAAATAAAATAAAAATAAATCCTGGATTATATTTGACAAAAACTGCTGGATTCTCTCTGAATGAAATTAAATGGCTAAGATTGTGTTAGGAGAAAATATGGATTTTTTTAAAAAAAAAAAGAGGAATTCGAGGAAGAAAAAAAAAGAAGGAAAGTTTGCCGCAAAAATAAAAATGAAAAGAAAAGAAATTTGAAAAATAACAAAAACAACGACCGTTACTTCAACTCTCTCTCACCTCATGCGGTTAGACATTTCATACTCCAATTCTTTTAGCCTTATTAGCCAAGACTAGTTTGTTCACATTGGAACACTATATATTCCCTCCAAACCCACCACTGTTTTTTCCACACACAAAAACAACAAAACAGCAATGGCATCTACTTTTTCTCACATTTCCCTTTCTCTTCTTTCCCTCCTCCTCCTGCCATTTTTCTCTGCAGCATTTCCCAACAATGGCCCCCTTCAATTATCTTCAACCCCGAAACTACAAGCCGAAAAATTCATAAGAGACCTTAACTTGTTCCCCACTGATGAGATCAACACTGTCCCCCACAAGACTTCATTGGATGAGGCTTTTGCTGGTCCTATGCTGGTTGAAAAGCAGTTTAAAATGCCTTTTCTTGGTGCTGCTTCCGGACCTTCTGTTCAAGAGCTTGGCCACCATGCCGGCTACTATCGCCTTCCCAATTCTAAAGCTGCAAGGTAAGGGTAAAGGGTTGATGTTCAATTGCCTTCGGAATCTGAGTAGTGCTTCAATGGCTTCAAAATTTGATTTGGGAAAGTGAAAAGTTTTGTACTAGTGTATGTCATGTAGTACAAAACCCTCATACCATTTCCAAATTTTGATTCTTCATCACATTAAGACAAAATTGCAGACAACTATCAATCTTTGCATCTTCAATTTTTCAATGAACATGTGTTCCTCTGTTTTAACTTTCAAGTTTCAATATCAGATATAAACCTGTGAAAAAAAAAAACAAACAAAACAAAAACCAAAAACCAAATGCTAACATAAGCATCTGGAATTTAGTTGCATTGTTACATTGAATACAGACACAAAACGACACTCTGAACAGGGATGATGGTTACATGCCTCGTGTCCGCATCTTTTGCTTGTATCTTTGTCTGAACTTGTCCTCACATGATCAATAGAAAGATGATGTGGCTTATTTTAATCTATTTTCTAGAAAATTATTGTGCTGATTTTGATTTCAATCCATTTTGTTTTCGCAGGATGTTCTACTTGTTCTTTGAATCCAGGACTGACAAGAATAACCCTGTTGTGATGTGGTTGACTGGAGGGCCAGGGTGTGGCAGCGAAATAGCTGTGTTTTATGAAAATGGTCCTTTTCAAATTGCAAACAACTTGTCTCTTGCCTGGAATGACTACGGCTGGGACAAGGTATTTCTCATTTTGCAGTTCTTTACCGACCAGTCCACATTAAAGTTTCCCTTTGGATTGTGACCAAGGTTTTGTTTGTTTTGTTTGGCAGGCATCCAACCTTCTTTTCGTGGATCAACCCATTGGAACCGGTTTCAGCTATACTTCAGATGAGGGTGACATCCGCCACGACGAAGAAGGCATCAGCAATGACTTGTACGACTTTCTGCAGGTCCTAGCAATTCCTTTATGTTATATCGAGATTTGCTTTCAACAAATTATAACCCCTCACACACACATGGACAACTATCCTTAACGTTTCTCTTCCTGATCACAGGCATTTTTTGCTCAGCATCCTCAATTTGCTAAAAATGACTTTTACATTACTGGAGAATCATATGCTGGGCACTACATTCCTGCATTTGGTTCTCGGATTCACAAAGGAAACAAAGCAAAGGAAGGAATGTACATAAACTTCAAGGTATCTTAATACTTACACTGGATTGACTGCATTGGCTGCTTCATCATGATCATACTGATCCAATAGTTGTATCTGCTATCGTTGAACAGGGATTCGCCATAGGTAATGGACTAACCAATCCTGAAATTCAGTACAAGGCCTACCCTGATTTTGCACTGCAGACGGGGTTGATTAAAAAAGCTGACTACGATAGGATTTCTAAGACGATTCCAGACTGTGAGCAGGCAATTAAGACTTGCGGTATTTCCTCTTCATTTCCTTTGTTCTTCACATACCTGTTAGTTACAATCTCATACGAGATTTGATGGTTGTCTTACAACATTATCTAACTCATGACTTTTCTGATATCTGAAACTGTCAGGCTCTGAGGGTGGAGAAGCTTGTGCATCGTCATATGAAGTTTGCAATAGCATATTCGAAAAGATCATTAATATAATTGGTGGTACAAACGTAAGCAAGCGCAAAAATCTTTTTATCATCGTCAGAGAAATAAGTTCTAAACAAACCCACATACAAATTCAAGTATGCTGAGAGTTTACTCTATTATGGTATATGCAGTACTATGATATTAGAAAGCAATGTGAAGGGGACATGTGCTATGACTTCTCAAACATGGAGACATTCTTGAAGAAGAAACAGGTTAGGGATGCCCTAGGAGTTGGGGACATAGACTTTGTTTCATGCAGCTCTACGGTATATGACGCTATGCTTATGGACTGGATGAGAAATCTGGAAGTGGGTATTCCTGCCCTTCTTGAAGATGGAATTAAGGTGCTTTTGTATGCTGGGGAGTATGATCTCATCTGCAATTGGCTTGGTGAGCCTCTTTGTTCTAGCAAAAAAGCTCATGTTTCATGTATTAGAGAGGATATAGTACTTTTGGAACTCTTATATTATTATGCCTATTTATTTTGCAGGAAATTCAAAGTGGGTTCATGCCATGGAATGGTCCGGTCAGAAAGCATTCGGAGCATCATCAACTGTTCCATTCAAGGTTGGTGCTACAGAAGCAGGACTGCTAAAAAGCCATGGACCTCTAACTTTCCTCAAGGTCTCTCTCTCTCTCTCTCTCTCTCTCTCTCTCTCTCTGTGATTACACATTGTAACTTCGGCAAATTTGATTGCATGTAACCAAAAACAGGTCCATAATGCCGGTCACATGGTTCCAATGGATCAACCAGAAGCCGCATTACAGATGCTGACAAGTTGGATGCAAGGAAAACTGGCCATAGCTGAGTCAGTCGAAAGAATTGCTCCCAAATGATAGCCTCGGATCCTAGCCTGCCAACATGTGGTTT